CTGATACAAGCCAGGATGCTGTTGGCCCTCTTGGCCACCTGGGCACACTGATGGCTCCTATTTAGCCGCCTGTTGACCAACACCCCCATGTCCTTTTCCGCTGGGCAGCATTCCAGCCCCTCTTCCCGACACCTGTAGCATTGCTTGGGGTTGTTGTGACCCCAGGGCAGAACCTGGCCCTTGGCCCTGTTGACCCTTACCCAATTGGCCTGGGCCCATGGCTCCAGCCTGGCCAGGTCCCTCTGCAGAGCCCTCCTCCCCCCCAGCAGATCCACATTCCCACCCAGCTCGGTGCCATCTGTAAACTGACTGAGGGTGCCCTCCATCCCCTCGTCCAGATCATGAATAAAGATGTTAAACAGAACTTGGTCCAGCACTGAGCTGTGAGGTATGCTGCTTGTGGCCGACTGCCATGTAGATGTAACTCCATTGACCACAACTCTCTGGGCCCAGCCATCCAGCTGTTTTTTTTTTTTTACCTAGTGAAGAGTCTGCCCGTCCGAGCCATGAGCAGCCAGCTTCTCCAGGAGAATGCTGTGGGAAATGGTGTCAAAGGCTTTACTGAAGTCCAGGCAGACAACATCCATAGCCTTTCCCTCATCCACTAAGCAGGTCACCTTGCCATGGAAGGAGATCAGGTTGGTCAAGCAGGACCTGCCTTTCTTGACCCCATGCTGACTGGGCCTGATCATCTGGTGGTTCTGTATATGCCCCGTGATGGCACTCAAGGTGATCTGCTCCATAACCTTCCCTGGCTCCAAGGTCAGGCTGACAGGCCTGTAGCTTCCTGGATCCTCCCTTTGACCCTTCTTGTAGGTGGGCGTCACATTTGCCAACCTCCAGTCAACTGGGACCTCCCTGGTCAGCCAGGACTGCTGATAAAGGATGGAAAGGGGCTTAGTGAGCACCTCCACCCATTCTCTTAGTACCCTTGGGTGGATCTCATCCAGCCCCATAGACCTGTGTGTGTCCAAGTGGTGTAGCAGGTTGCCAACCATTTCCCCTTGGATTATTGGGGCCTTCATTCTGCTCCCGTCCTGTCTTCCAGCTCAGGGGGCTGGGTACCCAGAAAACAACTGGTTGTTGATAAATTAGATAATAGATAGATAGAATATTGATATTAATCTGAGAGTAGTATTTTTCCCCTTGCTTAGGGGAGGATGAAGGTTTTCCTGGAAAGGAAATGTGGCATTTTTTGTGTGTGTACAGATACAAGGTTCCTGTTCCCTTTCAACAATAGTCGTTAGTAATTGCATGGATTTGAAAATCCACACCTTTTAATGTCTCTAGCCTATAGAGATGACATTTCAAGGTGTGTGGGAGTCATTTAATGCATTAAAGTGTTTATGGTAAGTTTTAAAACTGAGAAAATTATTTTGAATATGTGTTAGCTCCTCCATGGAATTTATACCAGAAACAATTTTGTTTCAGGAAGTGTGCAAGTGAGCATCATTCCTTGCTCATTCAACTAAGGTTCCTTGTACTCTATTAGATAATCAAAGGGCAATAAAATATATGGTGATATTTTGGCTTTGTACTACTTTTTTGTGAAAGCAGACACTAGGGAATTAGGCTTGTGTCTGTTCTGTTGGCATAAATAATACTGGTATATAAGCTAGAAAGTAAATAATGTCATACTAGTTTAAGCTTTGATTCCAGGCAGATTTGCAGAAACCAAAATATTTAAACTTAACAGCTGTGAAAAAAGCAAAGCTTCATAGGATTTGAAAAAGCAATGAGGAAAATTCTCTGGGTTTCTGTGATAACGGAGGTTTCTCTTGTGTTGGCACTTTGGTTCCAAAGCTAATGGATGGCTAATGGTCGCTTATCCACAGATACAGTTTTAGGAATCTGTAAACTTTTAATATAACTCACCTAAGGTTATTTAAAAATCTATGCCCTTTAATGCTTCAGTAGTTGTCTGAAATTACAAGGCATGAAGGCTAAACCAGCAAGTTCTTTAAAAAGTGTACGTTATAAACATCATTTATAAAGACCCTTATTTAAATATTCTTTCAACACAATGTCTGAAAAGTGCTCAAACTTAACCGTGATTGCTATCTGTTGTCTGTTTGCAGTGTTTCGTGTGGAACTCTCCTGCACCGGCAGACTCGACTCCGAGGTCACAATATTAATGCAGCTCAACTTGACAATAAATTCATCAAAAAACATCACAGTTTTAAATTTCAAACGAAGGAAAATGTGCTACAGAAGTAAGACATTAAGTTTCAAATAGTAAAAAGCTTTTAGTGTTAAAGTATGATAGGAAAAAAAGAGTAGGAAGGTATATGATCCAGGACATGAGTTCCCGAGGGTGAATGTTGGAGAGGATGGGAAGAAAACAGGTAAAATTTTGTTTTTTGGAGACCCATGGGGACTTTTGGTAGAAGCAGAAGCTGAGGGATCAACAAATTCCCCAGGTGTTCTGCTGCAGTGACTGACCTTTCTAAATACATAGCAAAAAGCATTTTCTCTGTTGTGATTGTAAAGAAGAACCTGGTTTCCTCAAAACGGCAGCGCTCTCAATATTCAAATTGTTCTAAGAATTACCAACAAAATCTACTTAGATTATAAATTGTGAGCAACTTAAAATTGGCAATTTAGTGGATGTAAGTGGGTGTTAGCCTTTCAGATTGGAGTACAAAATGTTCTTGGTAGATAATGCAGACGTCAGAAGTCTGAGGTTGACTTTTCCTTGTTTTGACTTGAGAATCCCCAAGCACAATTTATTCTTGGATTGTTACTATCTCCTTCCTAGAACTATTTTCAGAGGCATCAGGGGAAAAAAATTATTTTGGAGAATCCCAAGAACTGTACCCTCCTTAAAAATGGCTGTGGTGTCCTGTTTTCAGGCAGCCTTTGAGGATGGCCACCTCTCTACACGCTCCTCCTGGCACTGTTCAGTTTACTCGGAGGCTTTGAGGACAGGATTTGGCTCTTTTGTCACTTCTCTTGAGTATGAATGTCTAAGGATGAACTTCTGGAAGGCGTGGGTGAAAGAGCTAGCGTGGCTTTTCAGCCACGTTGTGATACTCATGTTCCTTGCATTGTTGTAACAGGAAGATCACTCTTGATTCTCTTTTCTAGTGAAAAGGGAGGTCTGGCTGATAATGTTGACACTTTTACCTTTATTTCAGCTTTTCCTAGGTACTTTTTCAAATGTTCTAAGCAGGGGAAGTCAGCACTGCTTATGCATTCACAGCTTATTGAGCTGCTGAATGTTTCTGTAGGCACTACACAGTTATTGGGGTGTGTGAAATAGGGCCACTTCCTAAGCCATGCAGAAGTGATTTTTCCAACGATCATGTTTCTGTGGGTTCATAAAAATGTCAATGACTTTTTTTTTTTGATGTGTGTTGATTGGTATAGAGCATCTGTGGATTTCTGATTTAATTTAGTGCATGAGTTAAAAATATGCAGGAACTTGCTAGCGGTTTTGCTCAAGGCATTTGTGATAGTTCCTCCTAAACTTTAAAAAAGGGGGGG